TTTGGTCTGTGCACGACCGATCCTTACGGAATCCAGCTTGTTGATCTCGAAGTTGGGCGTCTACTGCATCCTTCATCCGGTTCAGCAACACTCTGTTGAAGACTTTCCCTGGTATTGACAGTAGTGTAATGCCTCTGTAGTTTTCACATTTGCTCAGATCTCCTTTCTTTGGAATCTTGACGAGGTGTCCTTCTTTCCAGTCCATCGGCACTTGTTCCTCCTCCCAAATCTTTTTGAATAGAAGGTAAGCATGCTTGTGGTTGCTTCGATGTCTGATTTCAGTGCTTCAGCTGGTATGTTGTCGGGTCCTGCTGCTTTCCCGTTCTTGATTTGTCTGACGGCCATTCTAATTTCTTCCGTCGTTGGTGGGTTGACATCTATAGGAAGATCTATGTGTGCTGCTTCGATGTCCGGTGGATTCATTGGAGCCGGCCTATTCAGGAGTTCCTCGAAGTATTCCACCCATCTGTTACGCTGTTGTTGAATTTCGGTGATTGGCTTGCCTTCTTTGTCTTTGACCGGCCTCTCTGGTTTACTGTATTTCCCTGCTAGTTTCTTCGTTGTATCGTGAAGCTGTTTCATATTTCCTTCTCTAGCAGCTTTTTCTGCCGTCGTTGCTAGTTCTTCCACGTATTTCTTCTTGTCGGCTCTAATGCTCCTCTTCACTTGTTTGTTTGCTTCTATGTATTCAGCTTGTGCTTGGACTTTCTCTGCTCGTGTTCGGCTGTTGTTAATTGCTGCCTTCTTGTTCTTCCTTTCTTTGATCTTGTCCAGTGTTTCTATAGAGATCCATTCCTTATGATGGTGTTTCTTTAGGCCCAGAACCTCTTGACACGTTGAAGTTAATGCTTCCTTGATGCCTTTCCAGTTGTCCTCCATACTAGTTTCTTCTTCTTTCAGTAGATCTTGTAAGGCTTGGAACCTGTTGTTGAGAGCTATCTTGAATTCATTGAGTTTGTCAGTATCTCGAAGGAAGGCTGTATTGAACCTTTGTAGTGCTGTTTGTCCACTTGTCCAGTTCTTTTTTAGCTTCAGTTTTAAATTGGCTACAACTAGGTGGTGATCTGAAGCTACGTCAGCACCTCTCCTGGTTCTCACATCTTCCATTGTCCTTCGGAATTTTTTGTTGATGCAAATATGATCTATTTGGTTCTCTGTAGTGTGGTCCGGTGAGATCCATGTAGCCTTGTGTATACGCTTGTGTGGAAATATTGTGCCTCCTATGACCAATTTGTTGAATGCACATAGATTTGCAAATCTTTCTCCATTTTCGTTTCTTTCTCCCAGTCCATGTCGTCCCATAATATCTTCATATCCAGTGTTGTCTATTCCGACTTTGGCATTTAGATCTCCCATCAGAATAGTTAGGTCCTTTCTTGGCATTTCTCAATGATTGACTGCAGCCGCTCGTAGAACTGATCTTTAATGTCGTCGTTGCTATCATTGGTGGGTGCATAACATTGGATAATATTCATTAAGATCCCCTCCTTCTTTGTTTTGAATGATGCTTTGATGATTCTGGATCCGTGAGACTCCCATCCTACAAGTGCATTTCGTGCTACTTTGGACAGCATAAGAGCGACTCCCTGAGTGTGTGGAGCATTGTCCTCTTCGTGACCGGAGTATAGCAGCATCTCTCCCGTAGCTAGCCTTTTCTGTCCAGCTTGGGTCCAGTGGGTTTCGCTGATTCCCAGTACTGCTAAGTTGTATCTCCTCATTTCCATTGCTATTTGACTGGTCTTCCCGGTTTCCCACATTGTTCGAACGTTCCATGTACCTATAAAAATTTTTGCTCTGGTTGTTAGAAGGGGCATCGGCCTCGTGGCTTCCGAAGGAACTCGGCTTTCACCATGAAGCGTCATAATTCTTCTAACTGAAGACCTTCTAACTCCCAGGGCAGAGTTTAAATGGTTTGAATTATTTTTTCTGGTAAGCGTTTTTTTAGCGAGTTAGTTTTCTACGGGATGGGGACGCTAACCCCATGCCCAACCCTCCTCCTTTACCCGGGCTTGGGACCGGCAGTAACCCTAGAAGAGCTACAGGCGGAGTTAGGTTTATGCGGATAATATCGTATAAAGAGATGAAAAAACATTATGGTTAAACGATAAATCTGAATGAAGTTTCATTTAGATTTCGTTTGCAATTTAAGCTAAACTGTTTGACTAATATCAGCTTACTAACAGATATGATAAAACAGCAGATAGAAATAAGCAGCATAGTTTTAATACTAATGAAACTGATTTATAAAGATGTGAAGCATTTGTAACATACCTAGTCAAAATGTTTGAAATGGAGGTAATTGTTATCCTATCTAATCATGACAAGAACACACCTATTTATATTCAGTTAATTGTTAAATAGGCCTTTGGTTAAATCATAAACATAAAAAGAAGTTAAGTTTTCCGAAATAACTTCAAATCAACTTCTACGTAGGAATTACTGCTTATTAGGTTATACATTAAATCATGAATTAGTATGCTACCAACTGTAACTGTTTGGATGTCCCTGTAAAATACTGAATATTTAATGACTAGTCGAGATCAGTACGTACTTACACACCAATAAGATCATATGTGATTTGATCATCCAAAATTATTTCATGTATCTAATTATTATTTTAATAAAATAATTTCTACAATAATTTGTACTATGCAATCAAATCAGCTACTGTTCAAAATGTCTCTGTTTACGGTAAAGTTGACAGATGAAACCAACTTAATTGTTATTATTATTGTTAGTAGTAGTAGTAGTATTAAGAAGTAATATTCAATAAAAACTCTGACTCATTATTAATGAAGTTAACAAACTATTAACAATAAGATATTTAAATTCATTTTCGTAATATTATTTAACTGCATGATATTCGATAAAACAAATAATTTCAACGTAATACATTTTATTAACTTCTGTATTCATAAACCTCTGGTGAACAAGACTCAGGCGAGGACAACCAATTCGTTGTTCGATATAAAGTTACAGAACATTTTGGTAAAATATGAGAATCATGTATCAACTACTTCATTTGAAAATTTTCCATCAATTTTCCTCCACATTCCGTATGATTCTTCCAATTCACAATTCCTTTCTATTTCCTTCAACTAGATCTTCTTAGCCTTCTGCTGCCATGGATTCCACTGCTGATTGGTGTTACATACTACTTATGTCGACAGACATAAGTGGCATACACCAAAAGCCAAATTTAAATAGTCAAAAATAGCGCAATAACTAACTAAGTTATTACACTTTTGTATACTTCTGACTAAATAAATACCAAATGAATGTAATTTGTTTTACTAATAAACGTTTCTTTTTAAATTGATCAGAATTCTTTTCTTTCTTCACATTATCGAGATAATCAGTATAAATAAACATCGTTTTTCACTGATGAATTAAAAGTTAAATATGGTTGTTGTTCAAATTAATACATGAACTGTAACTATCACTGTATAGAACAAATGAGAGTTAAATGTCTAATTAAAGTTATAAATAAAATTTTGTCAGTGAAATAAAGTGATTTAAATTTTATTTTCGAAATAAATGAAATAATTCAAACACAATTAACAAGATGTATTCATCTTGAGCTATTAGAATGGTGTAGAATAAATGATCTCCTTGATTTTCAGGAAAGAACAATTGAATGTATACTAAGTCTCGTAAATTATCGAAGACTATTCTAGTTTAACTAGGAATTCATAGAAGCAAGTTATTAAATCTGATATTCCGATGGTTATTATAACGTGTTGGAATCTATCTCATAAGCATATACGGAATTTCGAAGAAGAACACTAAATATCAAAAACTTTCCTAACGACTAATGTCAACAGATCAAATCTAAGAGCTTTCAAGCTTAAATTTATAGATCATTAGTTTAATAATTGGAGTCATACATTATATAGATTACCAGAACCCTAAACACCTAGATCATTTCTGATGAAATAGTGGCTCAAAGCCTAGATCATAAACATTAATTGAAAACCTTGTGCAAATTTAGATGTGAATAAACTCATTGAAGACGTGTGATGATGAGAAAAGTATTTATGTGAAGCTCTCATATATCTAACAAAAACAAACAACAATCCATGAAATCTTGTAGAAATGTAAGATAGACTGAAGAAAAAGAGTACCACTCTACTATGTGTGAAAGAGGATAAACATAGTATATCCGAGATAAGAATAAGTTATGATAATCTGATGTGTTATGCATATCGATACATTTACAAAATAGTTTTTCAAATAAACGTCTATTCGATAAGAACTTTCCTAGGTTGTTAAAATTTCAAAACAGTTTTCAAGAGACTGTGGGTGAAAATCGATTACATTATCTTTATTTAAGTGTTATATAATCGATTATTGTCATCTTTCTTTTTAATTTTTCTCGTTTTCATTTCATTAAAAATTTTGGAATTATTTCTCAGTCTTCCTTTCGATAAATTTTTAAACCTGAATGATTATCTCCAACTTTATTTCTGAAAATATTTAAACTTTAAAACAGAAACTGTTTCATACCGAATAGTCTATTAACTTGGTAAGATACGGTCATCAAAAATTGTATTTTTACAACCTACTAAATATTCCACATAAAAACATTTTTTTTCAATTTAACACGACCATTTACCTATAAAATCAATGAAGAATTCTTGATTATTTCAAAGATGCATACAAACTCTAATAACACAGACAATATTTAGTATGTCGTTGAATAGATAGTTAATCTTATTTCTAGACGTTTCTAATGACAGATTTTACATTCAAAAGATTTTTTTCATCGTACACTTACCATGAATCTGATGCAGCTTATGTGACATTTTAATCAGTTAAAAAACTTGATAACAAGTTAATCAACGTACAATTCAAATAAATAAATGTTTTCAATACTAAACATAAAAATGGCGTATCTATTAATAAATTCAAATTTTATAATCATAACTGTATGGTTCTATCTTCAATTCAGTATTCATTATGAACTAGAAAACATATTTCATAGAACAGATTTAAAGAAACTTGTTACTGTTCACCTCATGTTTCATAATACAATGTTTAGAATACTTTTTAGCTTATATTCTGGGACAACATGATTGTTAATCGTTGTTAAAAATAAGTCTCTGCTCATAAAATTGATCTATCAGATAAGACAACATATTCGATCGATCACGATTCCGTTTTTCAGTGTTAGTTCACTATGGAGTTTTCTTGAATAAATTATATTAGTCATTGAGAATTCGTAAACCAGTAACAAGTTTCATACTCGAATGGTAAGATATATTATTTTTTTAATTAGTTCTAATTGTCATTCAATTAAAATCATGATGAAAAACCCCGTTAAACCAACCAAATCCGCCACCAATAATAGTTTTTTGCTCAAAATAGACATAGAAAATTCAAATAAAAGAGGTTTTATTAAGGATTAATTTTGAAACTGATATTACTTACAGTAAAGTTGATAAGTATGTAGAACTGGACTATTATTTTCATGGTAGTTCGGAACGTCTTAGTAACGAATATCACACTGAAACCCTAAAATTCCACAGATAACGACTGGCAACATAATTTTGATAAGATAATGAACTGATCTAAGTTGGACCACCAGTGAAAAACTGGAAGCACTGTGTGGCCGTTTCGTCGGCAAACCTATACTGAAAATTATCATATACTCATTGATGATATGTACTCCTCGGAGTTCTAGTGAGAAGCCGTGACCAAAGGTGTGAGGCAGTCACTCACCAAAAACAATGGAAGATGGTCGCATCATATCATGGATTGGTTGAAGTTTGACAATAACACCGTTGGATACCGGCCCAGTGATCTAGAGATTAGCCGTTCGCGTGACACCGAAGGTCCTGAGTTCGATTCCCGCGCTCGAAGACGTGGATGCGCACTGCTGGGGAGTCACATTCTAGGAAGAAACAGCCTCCCGGTTGTTACAGATTTTTAATGTTAGTCTAACATTATTCCATTCACGGTTTCAATCTAAACAAAGATATGTATTATTCACTGAAATTTTCAAGAGATATTTGATTGACCTGAATTAAACATGTCTCAATTAGTAATTGGCTTCTCTTGATAAGGGACTTCTTACTGCTACGTGTCATCCACCATAGAAATTTTAATTTCTCAGTGCATTCAAATCACTCAATTTAATTATTGATAATCGTTAAACTGAGTCAGATCCCTGGATTAAATACCAATCTTCTCATTAATATTATCAGTGTCAGGAATAAAGCAACGCCTAAAATAAGTAAAAGATTTTCATAACTACTACTTACCCAATTTAATCACGTCCAACAAAAATTATATTCTCTTACCACTTCTATCGGTTGCATTTTATTGACAATCATCTCCATCCACTAGTATCAAACACCAACCCTACTAATAACAAGTGATAATTAAACTGATCAATTTCTACCTATTGATATCAATAATTAACGGACACCAAACATCATCAATAACATTCATAATTTGAAATAAAACTTCATTGGTCTTATACCATTTTGTATACAATTAGAATGGAACCTATTATAGTGACTTCCTTGATCATATAGAAACTTGATTATTATTCAATATTCATACTGTATGTGTATGAATATAATTTACTCAGTTATGGGAAATAGTTCATAAAGAAATAAAGAATATATCGAATATTTTGTTTAAAGAAAGTGCTACTAAGTTAATCAAATAAAATCAAAGGAACAAAATTGTCTAAATTTCACTTTATTATTGAAACAAAGTATAAATGTAATTGATTATCTTTGTAACTAATTGATTATTTTATGACGTAATCTATATCAACATTATGACATGACAAACTTAAACATTATCATACTTTCTTAGTAAATATGTTCTATCAATTTTTTTTCTCTCTTTAAAATACCTTCATAAATATGATTTCACTTGTAAATTATTAAACAAGTGGTTTTCGTTTAAATTATATATATGTATATATATATATATCCTACTATTATTCATATTTAACTCACAATAGTTTTAATAATATAATTGGATGAAATTATCCTATTTCACCTTGACATTTAAAAATGGAGGTGGATATAATTGTATCACTGACCTAGATATTATTGTCTAACTAAATAGTTAATCAATTAACATTGTATCCAATCAAATATTATCAAATGTTTCGTCAATTATTATAATTCAATTTTCTTGAATAAAATTTCACATTTCATATTGTGTGACAATTACAATTCATAAGTTATGAATTTAACTAAAGAAATTAATAAAAAATTAATTGCAGTTAAAATTAATTATTTTTTTCAATTTTGTGGTAAGTTTTTAAAAAAATGTTTGTTTTTTTCTTAAAAAAAGATTTATTCTTTAACTTATTTAATTTTATTTTTATATTAGCAATTTCATCGTTATTTGTTTATATGAATCCAATACTCGCTACATATGGTTTAAATTCATATCAATTAGGAATTACATCATTATTTTCAAATGCTTGTTCATGTATTTCAAGAATTATATTTGGTATGATTGCAGATCATACAAAACATCGTAATTATGTAAGTTAATTTTTTTCATAGTTCATTGTAATATTTAAAGAACAAGTGTGTTACATGTATATGTTACTGTTTTTGTTTTCTTTTTTTTTTGCTTTCTCTTCCATTACAAATTTACATTGTGAAAGGAAATAGGTTTTGTTTTGTAGTCTAATTTATTTTTTGAAATGTAGGTAAGGGTGTTCTGAAGAACTTAGACAGTATGTTTAATAAAAGATTGGGGAAAAATATGTAATAAAACATTAGTATTTTTAATATATTCGTGAGGTATGTTACAAACGTTAATTTAGCATAAACTAATAGTCGAAAAACTTAATAAATGATCATTATTTATTATCTGCGGCAATTATTGATCAATTCTTTCATGATATTCATCTCACTAACAAAAAAAGTATCAGTAGCTGAAATAAAGTCATTTAACCTAACTCTTAAATTCAACTATAAAATGTACTTACTAATACTAATTATTTCTGTCAAATCACCATATTGAATGGAATGTGGAATTTTTTATAGACTAATACTGAATTATCTGAATGGGGAATTGTGAGGATTGTAATAACTTTAACAGTTGAATTCATGAGTCGATCTAAGCTAGACCACCAATAAAGATCTGGAAGCACTGGATGTTCGTTTAGTTTTAGTATGAAACTCCTCACTAGTGAGCATCCAAGATGCCGCACATAGGATTAGAACTCAGGGCCTTTAGTCTCGAGTGCCAACATTAATCACTGTCAAATTCCATACAAATCATGACAGCCTCGTCGAAAAAATCAAAGTGGTTCAGTTTCATAGTCGTAAATGCACTTACATTACCAGCGGCATTCTTGAGGTACCTCACCTTATGTATAATACTTTTAATGATTTTTGGTAGGGTAGTCAGTTAGTGGTTTCGTGGTTTATTCCTTAAATAATTCATGCTAAAAATAAGTATCATTAATGAACAAATACTCATTTGCTTATGTCCTCATATGAAGTTACCTCATGTCCCCAGCTGTCATCTAGCCAACAGAATACTATAACAACTACAAAGGGCATAATTAAGAAACCAACTTTTCAATCACTATCGTTTATATAGATTTATTGTATCATCATTTATTTCATTTTCAATTAAAGACTAACCGCTATTACATCTATGTAGCAATTGACGATAACCAGTAAATGGCTGATTTTTAATTATTGCTTTAATAAAGGATAAAGTCATCCATTTAAGCATATGATTAGGTATTTGCCCGGTATAGAAATTCTGACCAACGTGATTAAGAAGTTGCAAAACAATAATTCCTGAAGCCTAATTACAGATAAATTATAACTTGTTATTTCTTACTTACCAAGATGTATCTTGCAAAATAATAACAGTATACAACATAATGTTTTGAATATATCTGAAATTAAGTTCCTGAAAATAGCGGGTACAAAACTTTTGAAGAATTGATCATACTTTGAAATGTAATTAAATGAAAGTTTTAATAGTCTCCAGAATTTTTTAAGATATTCTGAAGTTCCATTGATTTTAGTAATCTGCTCTCATTTACGCACAAAGTTGGTATTTCATAGCCATTATTATTGATTCATAACATTTTGCTTATTACTTTCCCCCCCCCCCCACATTAAACCGACATTGGACAAAGTTCACCACTGTGTTAAATTACTTCGAATAGTGATTACATTGAAACATAATCGATAGAATTTGATTGACACTGTAGACTAGGTAGTATACTAGTGGTTACTAGGAAGTTACCAGTTAGTTTTTAAACATTTCAACCTCATAATCATATTCTAAATAACCTAGACTTAACCACTTTGTATCATTAGGTAATATAAAGTTATATCCAAATTAGGAAGGCACTAAACTTTTGTAGATTGTAAATATAATCTCAAATTCATTTTTCACCAGTCTTTTTTGTCATGTTATATTTTTTCCCCTTAAATACTTGGATAGAAATCAACATTGTAACATCTTATTTGTTTGTTTAATTTTTAATCGATTAGTGAATATTAACTGTCAATATTTTCTTAACTTACAATTATGTACATATTTCCATATTGATAAATAAACTATTTAGATTAGCTTTCTAAATTGAAAAAAAAAACAAAACAAAAATGTACCCATGCGTATTTAACTGCCAACGAAAAAAAATTATCTGAAATTCTCTATTTATAAATCGTTAATATAACACTATAAGACAACTTTTTAAGGACATCATGTGCTAGAATGAATAATGAATATTATTTATTCTTAAAATAAGTTTATAATTAAATTAAAACTAATAACTTGTCTAGGATAGATAGAATATAGTTAGTTTATATTTGAATTAGTAGAATAAATAAATAATAAATATAATGTAATATAATTAATAATTGTCAATTAAAGTTGTTATAATATGTATTATTGAAATAACTAGTTTTTAATTTATAAATGTTGATTGTTATTTATGATATTGACATGAATGATTATGAAATATTCAATTGAAGTTTTATTCATAATAAATATTTTTATAACTAATTCAATTATAATACGTTAATAATCTTTTATTAATTTAATAAATGATACTAATAGATTTTCTAATAATAAAAACTGTAAATATTTGATTTAGTTACTTAATAATATTAACTAACAGTTTATCGGTTTGAATTGTGATTTAATTATTTTTCTTTGAAAAATAGAGTATTATCATTGAAAATCTTACATAATAATGTGACTTATAGCTTGTATGATAAATAAAGTTAGTAAGAAATAAGTAAATGAAAATGTGATTAAATGAATCATGATTAATGTAGAATATATACATTGATTGTTTACTGAACAGTGACAAATGTCTTATTTTTCTAGTCCTAAAAGGTAGAGTTTAGTCAATACTAAGAACTGGATAAACATGACATCCGCCATTGTTCAGTGATCAACCAATTTAAATATTTCAATCTAATGGAAAGTTAGTCGCATCGCCAATAATTCAATGCTAACGTCTCAAACTATGGAACTGAGTGACTCAGGTTTGGATTATCCAGAAAGCATCAGTTCCTTCAAAATTTCAGCTATCCTTGCTGAAAAGAGCCAAATAGTCAGAAATCTGGCTCTGAAGTCTTCTACTGACTGCTCCAAAACATCTAACAACGTTACTATCATGTATTAATCTAAGTTTTTAAAAATTATCGTAAATAATGCCAACGAAATAGCAATACAAATAACGTTACAAGACTAAACATAAGAGAACTAGTTCTGAAAAAAGTATTCTATAATATTAAAACCCCAAATTCACACTAAGTTTGAGAAAGAATGAGTAAGTCTGAATCACTGTCACTAATTCTAAAATGTATCAAATTAAGATCAACAATTTATTACAGTTAGCTAGCGAAATACGTCAACGATAATATTCATCTGAGAGATGGCCCTAACCAATAGTCTTTAGGTTGTTGAAATTATGTTCAACATAAATAAAGGTCTACAGCAATAACTGATTTGCAATTAATAATTAACACTTCATCCTTAACCTTAGTACCACTCATCCAGTGTTTCCATCATAAGCTAATAACACTTCGAAGACACATATTTTCAAATATTTGTGACAACAAAATATCTTAAATCCTCAGAGGCAATGCATCACAGATAGAAGATACTATCGAGTGAATTACTAAGAGGCACACACTGTCTTTGATTCAGAAGTGGATATCTTCCACTTAGCTGGTGGAGAAATGTTGGAGATAGCTAGCCGAGCTTTGCATGCCAGCATCCATATTTTGAAACTGTTAAAACTCCATGATTTAAGAGGCTCTGAAGTTGTCAATGTGTACAATTACTTCACTTCATTTGTTCAGAATTAACACTGGTTTGGACTAGTCTTGGAGCTTTTTTATGTATAGAAGAAGGGGAAAACACTCGTAACATTATCATATGCCTTAACCTAAGTCGGTAAAGTCGGTGTATAACTTGATCGATTGGTACTATTAAATAACCAATTAATGTAAACAATCTCTTTAAGTATTTTACAGAACTTATTACTTTCTAAATTATATTTTGCTTTCACTTTTTCTGGAAGAAGTTATTCCTTGTTTTTTTAACCTAATTCATTTACAAGGTTTTAATGGCTTTATCATCTACATCACTTGGTTTAATGTTGTTATTTTTAACAATACCAAGAAATAAAGAATATTTGTTCAATGGAAACATGAATGAGAATGGGGAATTTGTAATGCATTTAACACCATTATTAAAAAATGACAGTCAAAGTAATTATATGGAGTAAGCGGAATTAAATGTTTTTTTCTTATCTACGTTTTACTTTGTGTATTTCTTTTTATTATATATATAATTATAAATATTGTAGGGGGCACTTTTAATGAAGTAATGTTATTCTATCTGATAGTGTAAATCATTTCTTTTTTGAAAATCTTGTCAACCATTGACCAGTCTAACATAGTAGTTTAGAGTATAATTTTCCGTCGTTAATATTCACAAATGCATTTGATTGGTCACGGTGAACAGATGAATAAAACAGGTCACATCATGAGCATAAATGTGTAGAAAAAATATTTTACTTCCATTTAGTATATTATAGATTCAGTCATTCAATTTTTACCAAATGATTCAGGAGTTACATGTTACACATATAAATCTTATGTTCTAGTTGCAATTTTCTTATAAATTAACAATCCCGATTTGAGCATCAAGAAAGTAACAGTTGTTAGCTTCTATAATGATTTTTGAAATCTATTGACTTTCTATAGAACGTATCTTTAATCAAGCCTATAATACAGCTATTCTAAAATCTTTAGTTACAAATCATATTAAAAATAAAACTTCAATGTTATCTAAAACTAATTTAGATTAAAAATTCTAAGAACGATCATTATAAATTAACTTTTGTCATAATGAAGGTTTTATCTTAATATAGTTGTAGATATAAAATACCACAAAATTTCCGTTAATCACAAGTTGACAAGCCGTGACCAGTGGAGCTAATCCGTGTCGGGTGGAGACTGGTATCTACCCTAGTACAATCGAAGATGGCCGCGCAATTTCGTGGATTGGTTGGTGTTAGACATTAATACCACTAGGATGCCGGCTCAGTGGTCCAGTAGGTTAAGCGCTTGCGCGCGAGACTGGAGGCCCTGGTTCAAATCCTGCGAGCGGGATCGTGGACGTACGGCTGAGGAGTCCCACAATAGGACGAAATGGCCGTCCAGTGCGCCCGGGTTACCAACGGTGGTCTAAGATCAATCGGTTCATGATCTCAACCAAAACTTGATAATCTCCACAACTGATAATTACAAGATAAATCGATTATTTGTCCAGTAACGTTGTTTCAAATTTGTACAATTTTACATAGCTTTAAGTCAAAAGTGTTTTTAAACCTTAAGAAATGCTTAGAGAACTTGATGGGAGAAAAATAAAATCAATTAATGTTCTTTTGATCGGTGTTGTTCTTAGCCTTAACTAAGTAAATATTGATAGCACGGTGGCCCAAACTGTTTCATTTCATAATTATCAATACCTACTTGTGAATAAGTTATTTTTATTTTTATATACTATGAAGTATCGATCATACCTACCGCTAGGCGTTCATTGATGGAATATGATGTTTTAAAAAAATTAAGATGATAAAAAATGTCTTTTCACAATACTATTTTTATTTCCAGTAGTATTCAAGTTGAATTTTGAAAAACAAACGCCTGTACACCAATAGTCAATTCCACTAGTAAACATACTAACAAATGCCATTTAAAACGTAATTCGTAAAACCGGTGAAATGTTCATTTCGCCTTCAGAGGATACGGATTACCTTAACAACGTGTAAAGCATTATAATTGCAATAATTATTAACTGATTTTCAAATATTGTGATATCATTGGAACCATGAACCGATCCAAATTCAACAACCAATTAAGATCCGGAAGCACCAGACGGTTGTTTCACCCTGGTATGGGAGTAGAACCCAGGACCTTCGACCTTGCGCACAAACGCCTAACCTCTAGACAACTGGGTCCGCATCAAATGGTGTTAATGTTTAACTCCAACCAATTCATGACTTGGTCCTGCACTCGACTCCCGCGTGCAGGAACTTCGATGCACACTTGTGTGTCCCATACCAGGATGGAACGGCTGTCCAATGCTTCTAGATTTCCAATGATGGTCTAACCTAGATCGATCCATGATTTCAGTGAGATTAAACAATCTCCACAAGCCCTTACTGATTATTTTGATTTCATCCGCATAAATACTATTTCCCTAATAATGAGTTATTAAAACAGTTTGAAAGCTGTACTAGTTTTATGACATCTTTAGTGTAAATATTTCTAAGTCTAATCCTAAATCAATTTGCTCGTGCCTACTGTGGCAAATCTATTAGTGCAGTAATCTAAAAATTTAGTTTATTTGTCTCAACAAACAACAGTCGATAGCCTAAATTAGTATTGTAGATTTAGACGTATATTCTCCATAATATTCATGAGAAAAGCATTGATGATTTAACCATGAAATGACGAACTCAAATCTGTAGGCCACAGAATGTCTGACTATATAGTAAAGTTTTCTATTTTAGACTTTTTAAAAATAATTCTATATTTTGATCGTATAAAGTACGCATGAGCTTTAATAAAAGTTTAAAACTTGTCCCGGAGTTAAATATAGTAAACTGTAAGTAGAACGACCACAGTAACCCACATAGTTCCTTCCGTATTTCTACTTTGGACAGGTAATAAACGATACAAATATATAATGAAAAAATTCCGTAAAGGATGAGCTTATTTCAGTCACATTACATATTCTATACTGTTATTACATATATTATGTTAACTAAATGACTACTGTTATTATCAAAGTCATATTTCCTCAACAATGTATAAATACGTTTACCATAATGAAGGATTTTTATGAATCAACTAACTACTTTTGCACTGTACATAATATAAAGTTGTAAACGTACTACCGAACTGAATGTAAAGTATAATCTGTGTAACTGATACTTTGGTTCGTAAAGTGAGTTTATGTTCAGATTAGACTAAGTTTTAGTTATTTCTGAGACAAGGTTAGTTAAATCACTGATTCAAGTTGTCAGGTTTTTCAACCTTTCTTTTTCAATTAAGAATTAACGAGCCTAGATTAAGTACAATTCCTAGCAATAAACAACATGATCTCCATGTATTTAAACTGAAATGTTTTCTGATCTCTTTATTTATCTAATATGATCTAAATGGTTTTGTTCGGCTCATAAGATTAGTTCAAAACCTTCGCTATCTCATTTATTATAACACCTCACCATTTATTTGTCTTCTCATGTTATAGCTACCATTTCTAAATTGTAGTTTCATTTCTTTCTTTTGGTGGTGAGTTTTCATCATAAACTGGCTCCACTCTACCTAAAATACAAAAACCTAATGATTTTTTGAACTCGATCATTGACTACCATAAACTGACTTCAGTCAGAAAATCACTAAAAAGAAGTTTTGAGAACCTTCAAAATGATGTCTTTTCTGTTCAGAGACTTTGCATCCCACATACACACAATTCAAAGCACTGTTAAACCCAGGACCACTCAATTAGTACACATTGAGTCCGAATTCTTTTCCAAAACTGTCTTAACTGACATTTCTACACAGTTTACCAATATATTTGTCTCATTCACGTGCTCTAAATGAATTGTCACAAACATACTGGCATCCTCGAAAACGTTTGGAACACATGAAATACTTTTAAGGCTAATAAATAGTAGCAATTTAATTCAGAATTAAACAGTGTTTAGCTATTTCCAATGTATACAATTTTTATCGATTAGTTTACAGATATATATATTGGAGTTTTCATTATTGAATTGCCCAAATACATATTATCCGATTACTGAATGCCATTTTGGATTGATACCGAAGTCCAAACATTTGAAGTACAAATTTTAGTCACCATGATATTAGAAATATATCGAGAAGAATGTCATACTGTGTGAATTATTCATGAACGAATAACCGGTTGATAAAGACTTTCAGTGAGTGTTCGTTATATCCATCTCCTTACGACTGTCTCACGTAATTAGTAACCTAGTTTCAAGAGTACACAATTTATTTCAGCTTATAATAAAAAACTGACTTATATCTAAGAAGTTGAATTCACGGTACCGTCAACTAATAATCGGACTTAATATTATGCAATCAAAGTGTTTTTATAAACCTACTAATATTTACTAGTATACCGAAGTATATTTCGACGTCTTTTTAACGCAATGTTTTCTTCAATAAACTATAATTAAATATAAACTCGCTGAAGGTTAGATAATACCAAGATGCAATATTATAGGCACATTTTTTCCTGAATCATAACATTCATTTCGTTACTGTCTTGTTTTGAATCGTTTTGATTGTGCACTAACACTACCATTTTCCAGAGGTTTAGTTTTTTGAAAGAATATTAGATCCAAGTAATCAACTGAAATTTAATATGCTACAGAAAACCTGTTGAATCACAACTTCAAATATTTAGAAACCATATGTCAGTTACTTAACAATGGAAAAGTAATATAATGAAAATTTTAAAATTAAGGTAAATATGTTTGCATGGAGATTTATTTTTATTTAAACTGTAAGAATGACAATCAGTAGAAGAAGAAGCCGACTCCACTGAAACTGTAGGGATATCCATTATCTTCTATAAGTCGTAAAAAATCCTAATTAATTAGAATTTACAGTTAAGATAAATCTTTTTCATTGAAATCGTGAATCGATCCAAGTTAGTCAACCAATAAAAACTCAGAAACATTGGATGGCCGTTTCATGACAATATGGGACTCTCCAGCAGTGCATATTCACGATCCTGCATGCTGGAATCTAACCAGAAACCTTGTTTCACTCTCGAATACTTAACCACTAGACCACTAATCCGGTATCCAATGCTGTACAATTAAACTGAGCAATTTCTACCTATTGATATCAATAATTAACGGACACCAAACATCATCAATAACATTCGTAATTTGAAATAAAACTTCATTGGTCTTATACCATTTTGTATACAATTAGAATGAAACCTATTATAGTGACTTCCTTGATCATATAGAAGCTTGATTATTATTCAATATTCATGCTGTATGTGTATGAGTATAATTTACTCTGTATTGTATATCCTGACTCGGCATTTGGGTTTTTCATCAGAATTATCATGTCTTTTCATTGGCATTTCTGTAGAATGATCTAGAGATCCTCATATAACTGGTCTTTATAACCTCTACCATCATCGGTAGTGGGTGTGTTGCACTGGATGACTGCTCTCTTGAAGTTAGTATCCTCTGTACATTAGGTTGTTTCAAATGAGTTTTATTTATCCTAAGCAGAGCCAAAATGCATCTTCTTATTTCAGTGTATGTTTGAATGACTCTACCGATAACACATAATTCGGATTTCTCATCTACTCATATTTGTTGTTACTCAGCCTGTCAGAAGTTGTGTTGGCTTTGTAGCTTCCATAAAATCTCGGGCTTCATCACAAACCCTAACAACTCTTTTAAATGAAGACCCATCAACTCTCAGGGCGAAGTTTTATTGATTTTCACTGGTTATTACGTGTTGCCAATCCCACTCCCAACACTCCAACGATACTCAGAGTTGATACTAGTAGTGACCCCACAAACGATTGAGGAAGAATGTATGTATTTCATAAATGATTTATGTTAATATGACTAAATTTCACGTACTCACTGGACTTTTCAACAATTTGACAGGACACTTTTATTGATGGATTAAATATACCGCCATGTTGGCCAATGGTTTTAAAACAGTGTACATCCAATGAAAATCTCATTATATCAGAAAAGAATTATTACCTAAAAGCTTTTAATTCTCACAAATTATCAAGAGTTTATGTTGGAGATAAAAATCATTCATATCATCTGTCAATACATGTACAACAGAAGTTCCCATTAATAAAACAATTCAACTTAGTTGTGTAGAAATTGAAACATCGGATGGATCTGATTGTGCGCCACTTGTTTGCGAGCATATACGTAAGTAAAGCTAATTACTCCACAAATATTAAAACAATTTCATTCTGTTTAGTATGGGCGTAACCAACTCTTGTTTGAATTATTCAATGTTTGTAATTACTTTAATGCAGGCAGATGACTATAATTAGATAATATCGTGCTGGCCATAGACTGACTTTGTTGAGATAGATAGACAGACACCATGAACAGCGAGCCATACTACACTATCACAATTAGATAAAAATAACAGGGTTAATGATAAAATAGATCAAAAATGTAGTGGCAATTATGATTAGAAAGACTATATATTGACAATATGATTTGAAAAGACAAAATGGAAAGGTATGTATGAAAGAGGGATTGAATTTAAGACCGAGAAGATAAAGAGTAAATGCATTTTCATGCTTATAAAAATTCAGTCTACAACTACTGATAACGGTTTTGACAGCGACTCCAACTAAGTAGTCTGCACTTATTAAGACAACTTATTTCGGTAGTCAGTGATTTCAAAGACTGATACCATATCTCGGTTTGGTTGCCTTTACCCTTCTTTTAACCTACTTCTACACCCGAAAGCTTCACCCGTCGAAATAGATTATGGTTATGTATTTGTAACACTCGTTTCGACCAGCTCAATTGATACAGGCTTATAACCTTATCAGCTGGTATGCCACCTTTCATTGAAATCAAGTCTTTCTTGACGTCATGATTTATTAGAAAATAAGGATAAAAATAAAATTTACAATTCAATCTCTAAAAGCTGAAATGATTTTACTCATCACTTTAAAAAAGCTATTTCAATAAAGTTTTAGCAGTTTACTAAGTGATAAAATTGTTCATCAGAGTAGTTTTATCTTCTTGATCAATACACTATTTGTTTCGAAATGTTTGAGTTAACAGTTAATTTTCATAGCACATATTATGGATTGATCCTAGTTAGAATACGGTTGAAAAACTAAAAGCAATGGATGGTTTTTTCATCTCTTTAGGGGACTAATAACGAGTTCGGATTGATTACCTTTTTATGAATCGAACCCAGGACTTTCGATTTCTTCGAAAATGGTCGACCTCTAGATTACTCGGCCAGTGACCAATAGTATGCATGTCTAACTCCAATCAGTTCACAACATTGCACAACTATCTCCCATTCTCTTGGGTCGGTACCCAATTCACACTAAAGAGACTTACACTCCACTGGTCACAGGTTCTCACTAGGACCCCTAGAATTGCATCTAGAAGTTAGACACTAGTGCGGTTGTTGATTAAAACCGCTGAGGTCCATACTAGGATGACAAACCTGTTCGCTGCTTCTTGGTTTCTGGTGGAGCTTTAACTAAGATTAGTCCATGATGTAAATTGTGATAATAAAGTAATCTATTCTAACCATTATTCTGTATGTACATTCTTTTTTCTTCTTTTCAAGGGAATTGCTGAACTTACCTTAATAACTAAGAATTTATTCTATCTTTTTTTAATTTTTAACATCTGAATGAAAATTTTTAGAGCTTTTTTAATGGTATATTTATCGCCTGATCATATAGAGTATAAAACAATTGTGTATTAGCTTAAATTGTTACACTTCATATTAGTAGCTAGATAGTAATGAAAACTAGGACAAAGAATTTAAAAAATAACACTATTAGCATTGGAACGTGGAACATACAAAAATTTAAAAACAAACAAATGAAATAGAAATATGAAGAGTATCCACTGATATTGAGCTTTAGACTTAGTGTCAGATAAGAATTGATGCTGTGATTAATTCCAGTCTATTTCATTTAACATCAGAATTACAATGTATGTATATTTTATCCAACTCTACATAAAAACATAATAAGGATTTTGATGTTGTGTTCTCTGAGCTGGATGGTTTATTAAAGTCAGTGTCAACATGTGAAAGTAATAACCACCGTATAATGATAAATTTAGTTAACTTGTGGTGTGTGCTACTTATATTGACATAAGTAGTATATGATGTTAGTAGTAAACAGAAGGTCTGGAAGTAGAGAGACAAGAGGATCGAACAGTAAAGAATGGAAACAAGATGCAATTTGTATGAAAATGCAAGAACAAAGAAGTCTGAGTCATTTTGAGACAATCGATGAACATTTTGCAAATTAAGCATTTACTTTATGATTGCTAGATTTTACTCACAAGTCCTGTAATTGTGTGTTAAATACATTCGATTGTTCTCACTCGTGTTCTGTTCACTACAAACTGACTTCATATATAAACAATTAGTTTAAAACCCTAAATTAATATATCACCAGTCATTTTTTCTTACATATATAGTACTTCACTAGAAATTTCAGGTTCTGTATTTTCATTATTTTTATTAGTTTGCAAAAACTAAACTTCCGTGATATTCCAGCAAACTAACATTTATGTTTGGTCTGTACATAGAGACTGAATTCATTAAGTGTGGTGATTTAACTTACAAAATTCAGGTATGATTTCGATAGGTGAAATGGTTGATCAGTGTGAGGATCATGTAGCTTTATCTAATTATTAACTGTTTCCATTCAATTCAATTAATCAGTCATCTATCCCAGTCGTAATGGTTGTCAAATTTTTAATACTTTAGCATAATCAACTCTTTTGAGAAATTATTTGTTTTATATATGAAGCTTGATGATAATCTATCCAAAAATAGATGATATCGATCATGTAAAGTGTCTAAGAGTTTCTTCACTGATATTTTGTTCATTAATAGACTGCATCTCATAAGTATTTAATACTTTTTTAGATTTTACGTTTGTTTGTACGATAAATAAAAGAATAGATTTTTGAAATCGGGTTTAGAGTATTCAGAACACAGTAAATTTATATCTTACATTTGATTATTAACATTTATTAATTTATATTTTAAACATAATTAGTTTATTCTTTTTAATCTATTTAAATAAATACAAACCAGAGGATGCATCATGGTCAGTTGTGATATTCGTTTTAATTCTACGCTGTTTAGTTAGCTCAGCTCATGCACCAATTTCAAATCTACTAGATTCAGTAACATTTTCAATACTTGGATCAGGAAAGGCACATTTCTACGGTAGATCAAGAGCACTAGGATCATTTGGTTTTATGATTGGTTCTCTATTAACTGGTTTTGCAGTATATCAGTATACACCAATAAATTATCATCATACAATAAATGAAACAAATCTGAATCTTTTATATTATACTAATAATTCATTAAATATCAACTCAGTGAATCCGAATTATATACCAGCAATTATAATCGCTTCATTATCAGTTGGCATTGGCACAATTGCATCAATATTTTGTAACTATGATAATACAAAATCTGTAGAAACACATTTTACAAAAGCATTAACCACAGCAATACGTTCACCAACAATGATTCAATGTTTAGTGGTTGCATTTATGACTGGTTTGATTATATCATTTGTTGGTGAATATAATTACCTTATTCTCACCACGATCTATCATGTACCACATTATTTCCTAGGTTTATTAACAACTATAGCTATTATTGTAGAAATACCAACATTATTATTTATTTCAGGTATCACTGTAAAACGCCTTGGTGTGATTGCATGTCAAGTAATTTCACAAATTATGTTAACTATACATTTCATATTTTATACTTATTCAACAAATTATTGGTATCTCTTAATTGGTGAAATTGCTTACGGTATATCTTATCCAATCTTAATGAATGCTTTATTATTACAAACGGAAAAAGTTAGTTTTGAAAAAATAAATGAGAATTATCAAATTTTAGCTAGTTTACAAGCTATACTAACAAGTACTATGTATGGTTTAAGCAGTAGTTTAGGTGGATTAATATGGGGTTTACTATTACAATATTTTAAAGCACGCACATTATTTTTTATAGCATTTATTTACACTTCAATTTGTGCATTATTTTTTCCATTTGTTGCATATTATTTAAACAAATTAAAATGTTAAATATTTTAAGTGTACTTAGATTTTCTTCTAGCTCACACTAACTAAACCTATTGTGATTATAATTTATTCATAATAAATATTATCAAATTAAATGCAAAATAAACTGTTCTGTAGAGATCTATTGTAAAAATATAAATCGGGGTGTTCAGAAAATGAAAAAAAATCTTGTTTTCTAAACTACATATATTTATCATCAGATGATTCTATGTAGAAGAAAAATTGATGAAATATTTTTCTTTTAGCAATAATTCCTTTTCATGGACTTTTAATAAATAAATGCGTTTCATCTGATCTTTTCATACAATTTCCCAAAGAGAATTTCTACTTAATTACAACATGTACAAATATTTAAATTATGTAAAATAGACCAAGTATGATTGTTTTTTTTCCTTTGAATTAGGCGCATTGTTTCTTTAGTAACAACAGAAATTCATGAACTGAGATGGTTAAGGTTTATTATTATTATTATTATAATTACTATTATTATTATTATTATCCAACATGCCTAATTATACTTCACCAGATAAACGTAAAAGCAATACAAATTTCAAGCGTGTAAATAGGGGATTCCATTAAATATAATAGTAGCAAATGTAATGTATACAATAAGAATTCCTAGATGTCTCTAAAACGTTCATAAGTCACAAATGGATCAACACTCAAATAAATCAGAACACATACATAACTTGGTGTAACTTCGTTTCTGTATTCATCAACCTAGAGACATGGATATAATACATCAGTTATATAGTTTGCACAATCTGTCGTGATGAAAATAAATATGAAACTCATGATCAGTAAATTCACACTTCAGACGAGCATATG